ACAATATGACAGCGCGCATTCAAGTCGGCGTGCACGCTAGTCACGGTGCGTGGTGTTATGCCACGTAACCACTCATAACAAGATACAGCGCGCATTCAAGTCACGCGTGACGTAGGTGAAACTATAACATCAAAATCCCGATGGCACACGCGGCCAATCACGCTCAGCCTGGTGAACCCTGCACCGCCCCTACATTAACCCCCTTACCTTTTCGAGTCTTGCCCCAACTTGCGCAAGGCATCGCTACGGCGAATCACAACAAAAGCCGGTCTGCCCAAGAATATGCCTAAAAAAAACCCGGCGCTGACTTCAACAATTCAAATGACAAAAAGCAACAATAGCTGAAAACGCCCATCGTCAGAGTTGAAGCGCCCGCGACGGCTTGCAACAACGCGGCGCCGTACTCACCGTCGCGAAACAACACCGCTACGCAACCCCAACCCGCCTGACAAAAAGCCTACACAATGCCATCTACGTCAAACTCAGACCGCACTGACGTACAACAAAACACCATAGCACCGCCGGGCACAACTAAAACTTACTTTTACATTATTCATTGTATATCAATCTGCCAACCGCCACACAATACACGTGTGAGGAGCAGCCGCGCAAATGAAACCCATGACGCCAGCCCACTAAGCCAGTCAACCGTATTACCATCTCCAAATAACTATTACACTATACACAAATTATAGTATAAAGTTTAAACACGTCCCGTGGTCCGCAATCGCGTACGCCGAGAGAAACCCGTAACCGATAAAGATTTACGGGTTCAAGCCCCGCGTGGGCAGGCAATTATCATTTTACCTGTCCTAATCACGTGTTGAAACTCAATATGCAGCATACAATGCCTAGCCGCATATATCCCAGCCCTTCAAATAGTAGCCAATCTCCGCCTGTCGCCACGTGCGAATGGATAGCGGCTCGCGCGGTGGTACCTCTTGCGTAGCTGCGAGCGCTCGCGGCCACTGCTGGTCAACACTGGCGCGGGCGCGTGGACCCAGAAATTTTTTATAAGAAACTAGCCCCTGCAAAAATGCCGCTACTAGATGGACCGGGCGCCACCTACATTCTGTCCGCTCACCTGATTCAATCACTACTCCAGCTCAAATAAACCGCAGCATAAGAGACGATGCACATAAACGACGGCCTAAAGATTTGCCATACAGCTGAACTCGCCGAATTACCCAGTAGTGTATACATATGTGCCGGCCCAAGCCAGTGGAATAACAGCCTACAATCATCAACTACATCATCACAGCTAGACGGTTATGTGAAAGTTGTAATGTTTACATTTTCCCTGCCCAAATGCTGTCCGCCACAATACGAATAGCGCTATCTGCAATTAGTATACATTATTTACATCACATACCATATTCGGTTTTTACGTCTCAATATATGTTTTATTACATTATTCCATGTCTATCTTACAGTTTCCGTACACGCTGTCGTCCCGCTACAGTAGCGCGTAGCTGCGATCTAGGGTCGTGCGTATCATCCAGCCAGCCGAGCCTCCATCATGCTCCTCCGCGACACAGGAGCTCGCCAGCCGACATCTGCACATCCTTAAGCCCCAATGCCCGCAGCCGAGGCTGCTGCTCTACGAGTCGCCGCGGTGGCAACTATCCATGTGCCGCTATGTCCGCCTCGCGCGGCAAAGCAGCCTCCCGGCTTGAGCGCCGCCGTTCCTCTTCGCCGCGAATCCCGAGGGGGAGCGCTCGCTCGCTTCCTGCCACCGCCCCTCCTTCCGCCCACAGCTCTCCTTCGCTCCATGTCCCTCTGTTGCCACGCGTCGTTACCTCGCCTGCCACTCGGAAGTGGCTGCGGTCTGGAATCGTCACTACCCACTTTCAACGCAGCAGACTATCCCCACCGCACGCCTCGTGGCCGTAGAGGGGTCCGCCGTCCGTCGCCCAGCGCGCTAGACGCTGCAGCTGATGGCGTGCTTCCTCCGGCACCTTGGTGGACTCGCTCAGGCTGCGCTGCGACATCTGCCTAGACAACACTTCACCGGCGTCCTCGCGAACACGGCCACGTCCTTCACCGCCACAAGCCATGCAGTGGTTCCCAGGTCGGGGGGGGCGGCGGCTGGATACCCTGTTCGTGCTCTCCCGCGTGGTACGTGCTTAGCAAGCACGCTGCCGCCACACGACCAGCCAGCCGTTGGCGTACCAGCGCAGGCGTTGACTGGCGCACCCCGTCTTAACCACAGGCTCGGCCTGGCACAACCGTACTAACGCGCCGGCCGAGGGAGAAAGCGCGTCGCACGTTCGTTATAATTCTAGGATGACCGGCGAGAGGCGGCCCTCCTTAGCTCCGGAATGACTCTCGCATGATGGTTGGTGCAGCCAAACACAGCGACCCCCTGGGCCCTCGAGAGGGGTCTATCTCCAGCCGGTAAGACACCGGGTGAGCCTATCCATTGGCTCTGTTTCATGCATCGATCGCCTAAGCCCTGCAAGCACCAATATCGAGGGAGCATTTCGTGCAGTCCGCCATCCGCTTAGGCTGCCGCTCGTGCCGCCGGCATTCCAAACCCACCGCCTTAGTCCCGTTGCAGCACCGCCTGACGAGCCGGCTCCAATATTATAGCGCACCGCTTCCAGCGGGTGCAGAATGAAGCCACTTGCAAGCTTGCGATTGCTCTCCCTATCTTCGGGTGGTTACTACGGATGCGATCTCGCCGACCGCAGGTTGAAAATCTCTTCTTTCCGAAAATCAATGCCTACCGTGGCTTGCCCACAGCCACAGGAGAAGCCCATCAATGGTATGCAAACCAATTACACGCGTGAGGGGGCAGTTTCTCATAATAAATCAACTCGGCCGCTCGCCACATAAGCAAAGCCGCGAGTACCAACACTCCTGGCGAGCCCTAGCCTCTAAAGCTCCGTGAGAGCGCAACATAAACCTAGCCTTATCCCCCGCAGTACCTATGTGCAGCTTGAGGTGGCCTCCTACACGGTTCCTCCGCGCGCGAAGCTAGCCTGAACCGCCCGCTCCAATCAAAGCATACGCATGGGCTCTTGACTCGTCTGTGTACCAAGCAGTACGACTATGCTGCCTAGGCGACGCGCTGCC